TAAAAAGTCAACATTTAATATTTAGAAATGCAACTATGCAATTATACATGATGAGAGGAAAGGTTGAAAATAAGTCAATACCCCTTCCTTTACTCTTGATTTCAATCATTGCAGAAATTCTATATGAGGCTACAGCATGTGGTGCATCCCCTTCTTAAGAGGCCATCCCTGGACTCAGCAGTGTTGAATAACTTCCATCTGGTTTCCAACCTCCCCTTTCCAGGGAAGGTTATTGAGAGGGTGGTGGTTGCTCAGCTGCAGAGGGCTCTGGATAAAGTGGATTACCTAGACCCCTTTCAGTTTGGGTTCAGGCTGGAGTACATTACTGAGACAGCATTGGTCACACTTGGAGATGATCTCCAGAGGGCTTGGGACAGAGGTAATACACCTGTCCTGGCCATCTTGGATCTCTCAGCGGCTTTCAGTACCTTCTCCCATGGTATCCTTCTGGACTGGCTCCAGGATTGGGAGCAGTTTTGCAGTGGTTCTCCTTCCATGGCCAGTTCCAGTCAGTGTTGGCGGTAAGGGAGAGGTCTAGCTCTAGGTCCCTTGGTGTGGGGTGCCTCAGGGCTTGGGTCTCTCACCACTCCTATTTATCATATATAAATATGATAAATAAATAAAACATTGATGTGAAATCTCTGGGTGAAGTCATTCAATAGTATGGGGTGTGGTATCATCAGTATGCTGGTGATACCAGTTATACATCTCCATCCCTGGCCAGGCAGGTGATGCTGTTATGGTGTAGACCCAGTGCCTGGAGGCTGCGAGGGTCAGGATGGGGAGGAACCAAGTCCAACTCAACCCTAGCAAGACGGAGTGGCTTGTGGTTTTTGGTCCCCCAGGTTCTGGTGATATATATCTTGATGGGGTTTCACTTCTCTGGACAGAACTGGTATGCAGTTTGGGGGTCCTCCTGGACTCATGGCTCCTATTTGAGGAGCAGGTGGCAGCCGTGGTTGGGGGTCTTTGCACAGATTCATCCTGTGCACCAATTACACCCATTCCTGGACCAGGAGGCCTTGCTTGTCGTCACTCATGTCTTGGTCACTTTCCAGTTGGACTACTGGAATACATTTTATATGGGGCTACCCTTGAAGACCAGCCAGAAGTTGCAGTTGGTCCAGAATGCAGTGGCATATGCAGTGTTAGACACCTCTTGGTTTGCTAATATTACCCCTCTGTTGCATGAGCTGCACTGGGTCCCAGTTTTTTTCTGGGTGCAATTCAGTATTCTGGTTATCATCTTTAAAGCCATACATGGCATGGGGCCAAGTTATTTGTGGGATCACCTCTCCCTGAGAGTATCTGCTCGTTCCACCATACTGGATAGAGTGGGCACATTCCAGGTCCCTTCCCTGAAATATTGCCGGTGGGACCTAGGAAGCATGCCTTTTTCTGTAGCAGCCCCTGCCCTGTGGAACACTCTTCCCTGAGATCTGGCAAGCCCCCACCTTCTCAAGTCTTCTGGAAGGCCATAAGAATTGGCTCTTCTCCCAAGTGCTGGGATAGGATGTAGTTGGAACCTGAAGATGGTGGTGTTGGTTGCATTGAAGGAAAAGGGTTGTGGTGTCAGGTTTTTGTTTTTATTGTGTTTTTGTTTTGCTGCTGTTGTGAGCTTCGCAGGGTTGTGTCTTTTAAGATGAGCAATCATATACGTTTTTTAAATAAATAAGTAAATAATTCTAAGATTATAGAATGGATTACCGGACACACGAGGACTTGAGTTTTTAAAATTCCATTACAAGTTCAAGCATATGAGAGGGCTAAGTCATGCCTTTGTTTCTGGAAGTAAACATCTCATATAGCATTAAATCCTCAGAAATAATCAGAAGAAGCTGCTGTTCTTTTACATTGTTCTGGTACGTGTTTAATTCCCATTTGACCCAATGTTCTGTAAAACTTAGAACATGTTCTTTGCCATTTATTTTGTACTCCAGTTGTCAGATTCCTTATGGAAATAAATTCTTCTGGCTCCCTCTATACTGGTATTCCACCTGCTAGTGAAAACATTATTATCTTTGCAGAGTGCTCATTTGGCTATGATTGACACCTTAATGATGGCATATACTGTAGAAATGATCAGTGTGGAAAAAGTTATTGCATGTGTACAGCAGTATTCCTCCTTCTTCCAAGCTACAGACCTGCCCTATGACATAGAAGATGCTGTCATGTTTTGGATAAATAAGGTAGGCATTTCATTTAATCATCATAGTGTGTTTAAGAAACTAAATGATGCAGCACATCACTAAAGTCACTTATTTGATGTTACTTGACTGCTTTTTATCAGTCTACTTTCAGTTTCTAACTGAGCAAAAATAATGTCAGCTAATGTATGCCTCCAGCTCAGTTTGGTGAATTTCTAAATACTGTTGGACAGTAAGCTTCAGTCATATTTCTTTGCAATGTTTGAATGTTAAGCTGTAGCTTTAAATCAAAATGCAAAGCTGTATAAGGCGGAAAGAAAGAGCTTACACAAATATTGTCACTCATTTTCATGATTTGGAGGATTATTTAATTCAGCCATTGTGATATTAACAAAATAAAGTTGTTAAGAATAATAATCTATTGGATACATCCACGAAATATTTTGCCAGGGGTTGTTTAGCCCAATTTGTGTTTCCTGAATTTTCATCAGGAACAAATCACGACTTATTTCTTACAGCAAGCCCTAATTTGATGTTAAGGTTTGAACTTTCCAAATCTTGTTTTAAATGTGGCTTATAGTTATGTCTGACTTTCTACCTTATCTAGGATGCCGAGCATTTACATCTTTTGCCACAATGGGGGGGGGGGGAAATAAGAGACTTTTGTGTACATTAGAGACATCTACTAAATAGCGAATGTTGAAAATATACCTTTAAATAGGATACCGTTGGTATTGTGCCCTCACGGTGAAAAATGAGAAGTGATCTAACAGTGGCCTCTTCAACAAACCACAGTGGTACCAGAATGACTATGTGTGCATGATGTAAATGTTGTGATTGCATGCTTGCATCAGCAGTTGTATAATAATGTATTACGCATCTGGCCTCCCAAGTGGTGGTCACCAATATTTTCTAAATAAGCAAAGGATTGATTACGGACTTTTTTCATCAGCTAAATGTTTTCCCATTTAATGCTAATTAAGTCCTCAAAGTACTTAGCTAGTACTAGGTTGTTGCTTAACATTAAGCAAAGATCTATCCCAGGGACCTACTATCTCTGGACATGGGGGCTTGGTTTTTTTTAATACCACATGACTCCCCAGGATTGGGGAGAAAGATTTATATGATCTGAAAGGAAATCAGAGTAATTTGGAAGGAAGGAAAGGAAATCTTAGGTATTAAGACACCTTTGATGGTCAGGTAATATATTGTGTTAAAGTCACAGGTTTTTTTATTATAAGAGAGGGCAGTATAGCAAAGGGTAGGTAGTCTTGTTTTTCATTACACCGAAGAGTTTTATGTTCTTTGGGCAGCTCACCAACATTAAGTAGGTTAATAATGTAGTTAAGCAGTGCTCATTCTTTCTCGGTGCTACTTTCTTTGAAATACTATTCAGATATTAGAAAAGAAGCAGAAGGAAAACAGATAAGAAATTAGCAAAATAAACAGCAATTAGCTTGTTTATATACAAGGTGGATCCTAGCTTGCTCAGCAAACCATACTTAAAGCAAAGACTGGCTTAGTTTTATGTGCAAACAAGCCTTATTCTCAAGGACTAGTCTTAGAAAATCAAATCCAATCTTATCACAAAGACCCTGCTCTTCCTGTATATAAGTAGAAGTAGTGGGGATATATGACAGTCATAATGTATAATTGTCCCCAAGTTGCTGAGGTATTCAGGTAACTCAGTAATGCTTTCACTATTATAATTGGGAAGGCACTGGTGATATCACCTAACAGTCCACCCTGCACTTCTGAAGGGTGCTATGCTACCTGTGCTAAGTGAAAAGGTACAACCCAATGCATTGTACAAAGAAATGAAAAGGACCTATCTAGCCTGTCTTTAATTCTCTTTTCCATCTGTTGTCAACTGTTTAATCTCTTCACAACAATTCCTACATAAATTCAACTATTGTGCAGGTTCTGATTTAATTACAGGCAGATTGACACTTGTTAAACTACATGTTAGTCATTTATTTTCTACCAAATCCTTAAGATGATGTAAACGGCAAATATGAGAATAAATTATTAAATAGGCATCTATTAATTTTTTGAATCAGTGCATAAGTGGCCCAAATTCCATGCATGGGAAACCAATAGAAATGCATTGAATGTTCTGCTATGGTACAAAGTATTAAAAAGGTAGCATCTGCAGCCTTGTGCCCTCCAGATGTGTTGGACCTCATCTCCCCTAATCAATAGCACAGCTGATAGAAATGCCAGCTAAGAATGAAATGAGTGGAAGTCTTAACAATTTTGGAGAGTACTAGGTTAAGAAAAGTCTGTCTTAGAGTGTTTACACAATTTCAGGGTCATTTCTAAGTATTGCTAAGCTCAAGCACTTAACAGCTTTAAAGATTAAACCCATTTGGCCTCTTAAGACTCATGTGTATACTGAAGAAGAACAAGACAAGAAGAGAGAGTTGTATTGTAAACAATTTTTAAAACCTTAGCTGCACTGTTTCAAAATGGTACAATAATTATACTGTTACTTAACATCTCAGCAAGAAAGCAAAATTTATCTAAGTCTAATTTCCTTTGCCCCTTTAGGCAAATGAACATTTAAAGGATATAATGGAACAGGAGCAGAAGCTGAAAGAGCAACATGGGGCAGAAGCTCCAGGAGGTCAGAAGGTATGTGTGGAAAATACACTAGTTAAGAAACATTCAGAATAATTGCAACTAATAAAGGATTTTCCTTTCTGAAGTTATGTTCTGAATAGATCATTAGCATCAAAGTTTCATTCATTATTTAGATTTCCTTACAATGCCTGGTTATATCATGTGATAAGATATTGGAGGAAATTCAGAGACAATTTTTGTTTTGGTACATTAAACACTAAGAAATACAGTATTAAAAAGAAAAATAAAACAATGATAAAAACAAAAGTATCTGAAAACAGAAGGGTATATGTGCATATCCCCATAACATGCAAATATTTATTTCATCTAAGAAAAAATATGCAAGCATTTTAAACATCCATATTCAATATTTCCTCCCAAAATGACATTTGTTCAGATAAAGGTAATCTTCTATGAACAGCATTGTTAATATAATGACTGAATGATTTGAATAAATGTATTACAAGCTTTTGAAGGCTCTTTATCACAGTGCAGTTTTTCAGCCAAAACTGTTTTCCCCACCTTTAAATATAATAGATCCAATGAAAGGTGTATTTCAGTATTCATGTATTTTGTGATAACAAATCTGGCAGGTAACAACAGAAATTGAATTAATTTCTTAAATTACAGTGGTTGATATGCATTCGGAAATATAGACAATAAAACTTTTACATTATTTTTAGCTGTATCAAGACTTACTCAGCTCTGGAAAGGAAAGTATCTAATCGAAAAACGCGTTTGTATTTCACTGAAGTTTCTGGTTAACTGTAGCTTCTCATTTCATCTCACCAGGAAATCATGCCTACTAGATTTAGAATAAGCTAGGATTTTTAACCAATTTTGAACTATGATTTAATATTCTAGCTTATTCTAAATCTGGTAACAATAGTTTTACAGTTCAGATAAATCGAACAGGCTGCAGAGATCAGCTAAAGGCCCGTGTGTCTATGTGTGTGTGTTGGCTTAACAAGCCAAGACATGATCATACAGGTATGATTATAATGTGGAGCTGTCCTTGGTCATTATAAATAAGCAACAACTTTTGTTATCTCCCTTGCAGATCCTTATAATTTACCTTGATAATAGTATGTCTTAGTTGATTTATTCTACTGATTGTTATTTTAGTCATATCCCATATGTAGAGAAAGTCAGTCCTTTGCTCAGTCATATGTTAGTTTTCAAATATAAACTTTGTTGTTGAGGTCCAGCAGTTGCTCAGCTTCAAGAGGAACCTCCTTTTTCTTTCCCTCCATTTCATTTCATTTCATTTCATTTCATTTCATTTCATTTCATTTCATTTCATTTCATTTTTCTTGGTGTGTGGCTAAACAAACTATTCTTTTATTTCCTTGCTGTTTGCTAAATTGAGCCATTCCTAGCTATGCAGTCATCACAATTAGGTTCCACATCAGTTTTTCTAAAGTGGTTGACATAGGCCTATAATTGGCCTGTCACTTCTAATGACTTTGGTCTCCCGTTTTTGCCCTCTTCTGCCCCAGCCCCCAGTTTGTTTTCATTATGAACAGTGGAACTAAATTATTTGCTTCACTTAAGACCATAATTAACTGACTGAGAAGTGGTCAGATTAAGGAACTCCAATGAATTAAATTACACCAGTTTATAGGTCCCTGCCCTCCCCCACCCCACTTCTCTGGTATTATGTTTGGAGGATCACATTCTAGATTTAATCATCACAAGAAGTTGAGTTATTCTGCTGCCCCCCCCCCATTACATGTTAGATGTGACCTAGTCGGGTAATGAAATGTCTGCAAGAAAACAACCAAGCTCAGAGAACCCCAAGGACGCTACAATCCTGAGCTACATATATTCTCTTCTGTTGGTAACTCAGGGTTGAACTGTGGAGTCCTTGGGGTTCTCTTTTCTGCAAGAAAACACCAAGCTGGCACTGAAGCACTGCTAGCAGTGAAGATGTTATCTAGTCGGATAATGAAACATCTGCTAAGTTTAAAAAGGATTATAGTAGTAATAATGAAACAATAGAACATGTTTAAGCAGCAATCAGTAAAAAAGGATTATACACTTGGTAGAGAATCTTCCTAAGAATGAAAGTCACCCAGGAAAATCTACCTATGTAGGAAGTTACATTTTGCATTTGACTTTTAGTGTGGGAATTCAGAATAGGTCCAGCATCAGCAGCTGGACACTTAACATTCATTATTTGTGCTAATAATTTAGCTTAAACACTAGTCTCTGCATTCCATGTGGTTTCCCGGAATATAATTTCCTCTTCTTTTATTCATTACCAAAATACCACTACAAAACTCATCAATCTGTTAGCAAGTTTTACCTTACTCATTTTATAACATATTGAGAGTGAATGAGTTTGGCATTAGAAATTGAACAGGATTTGTTTCTTATGATCAGAAGTTGCTGTAAAGATGTACCTTCATTGCTCTTGAAGAATGTAGAATAAAACGCCTCCAGTGCTGTGACTCTCTGTTTCCCGACTTGCAAACCCAGTGTAATTCACTCCAAGATTAAATTGATTATTTGATGAGAACAGTGGATTAGAAATAACAGTACAACTGTTTTTGAGATAAAAGATACTGTTTATGTTTATGTCAGTCTTTATCTCTGAATGAGAGTTTTTCTGCTGCAGTGTGCTGAACTGACAAAAAGTAAGTTCTTGTTTTCAGAGATACTCTTAACAATCCCATTCATAATAAATGCATGTGTATAACCAAGACAATTAAATATCATTAATTTTACATAAAACTGAAAATGGCTTAAAGAAAATGTAATGGTGGAATTACATGCTAAATTACAGTCAACATGTTCATGTTTTCTTTGCCTGTTACTTTTTCCCTGCTGCTTCCCTTGAAGTCTCCTTCCAAATGGTTTTGGAAACTGGTTCCTGTAAGTTTGTCATGTTGCTTCACTTTGATTCAGTAGTTTAATGTTCAGTTGCATTGCCAATGTCATGATAGTCCAATCATACATTTCATTTCTGCCTTTTTTCCCCACTCATTACCTTTTAAGTAAGATCCCCATCCAAAGGAGGCAGCGGAGGTAACTTAGGATACCCTGGAATAGTCTTGATCCCCGACCCCTCCCCACCCCCGGTACATTACAGCTGGACAAAGACCATCCCAGAGGTGTCCATCTCACAGTTTTCAGGAGTGAGGAGTAAATGACTAACCAAAGAGGAGCGGGTGATGGAGCGGCTTGAAACAGTTGAGAATCAGTATCTGCATTGGCATGGATATATGAGGATCCATCAGGATTATCAATGCTCATCTTAGTTTCCTTTATCATTATTTTTTAAAAAATATATAGAAGCAGAAGATATATGGTTACAGAAGCTCATTTATTATATTTACTTTAAACACATAATTATCCTTTTCTACAACAAAACAGTTTTTGCTTCCAGATAAATGAGCTTGGCAGCAGATCCAAACATATTTCATTTCTTTAATCCTAATATTGTCATAATTTATACTATCAAGTTTGAAAATGCAGAAATCTACACATTCAATACATTTATTTTTACTGGGGAGGGGAAAGTTTTGGAGGGAGGAAAGATTGTTCTAACATATCAGAAACGTAAAAGTAGTTGTAAAAGATGGAATGCTATGTTACTTATGTTAGGTTATAGCCACATACACACTGAGACATACATAAGGAAACATGCATATATACATTGCACATACAGTTGCATTATGAATGTTTTGAAAATTATTTGGAAGAGATAATATGGAACATTTGGGAATGAACTATCTCTTTAAAGCAGTCGTGTCTTTTTTTCAGAGTGGTCAGAGGGTGGCCCTGGTAGCCAGGAGTGTTGGAAGATGGGCAGACGAGAGCAATGTTATCTGCAAAACTTTGTCTTCTGGAGAAGACAGAAGGGAAGGAACCCTGGCTATGTATGGCTAGTAGGAAGGAGAGGACCATGCCCAGATAGGGCCACCTCCTCAGAGCCAGGAAGAGATCCCAGCACCCAGCTTGCCACTGGGGTAGCTGGTGATAAAATTGCTATGTTTGCTTGGCTACTTCCACCACCATCAGTTTCATTATTCATAGGAGGATCACATTCATTTGTTATTTTAGGCAGTCCTGGCACCACAGTTTGAGAACCTCTGCTGTAAAAATTAATATTGTATGTCCACAACAAAATTCTTTCCTTAGAAAAAGAGGGGAAAGAGGGAATATTTAATATCATATGTAATGCTCAGTAGTTGTGATGAATATACAAGAATGGATCTCTGATGCTTATATTAATTGTTGTTCCCCTTCTGTAATCTAAAATGACTCTTATGCAAGTTTTCTTTTCATTCATTATTACTTCCTACCTCATTGTAAACAGAAGTAAACAAAGATGAAGTCTTTGAAGTAAAAAAAACTTGAAGTCATAGAGGGATGGGCAATTTAAAAGTAGAATTGACAACTTGGAAGAAGGAACTTGGGCTGCTGTAGGGGATTTAAAAGCTTGCAAATATCTCAGCCCATGTGAAGAGGCTCAGAGCTTGGTAATACAACAAGAATAGACACATGTAAATTATACATTATACACCAGTTAGTGACACCTAAAATGAAACAATTAAAAAAACAGCTGGTGGGCTTGGGGCAATGTTTGATGTATTAACTTTCAGAATTCAAGGAGAGCCTGAATAAATTTGCCCAAATGCATAAATTGTCATATTTCCAAAGAATAGTGGATGGTTGTCAAACCCCAGTCTCAACTGGGAACATAGACTATAGCCATGACAAATCCTGCCTTACGTTTCTTAGTTACTATTCTTTCAAGTGCCTTGACAATGCAGAAACAAATCATGGTGTATTATGTTGGGAGTGACTGACTGACTGGTAGCCTAGTTAATACATAATGCTAAACCATTGACAACACTGACTGCAGTGGCTTACAAATCACAGTGGCTGGATTCAGAGATAATGCTAGAACAAAACTAAATAAATCACATCATGGTTTAGTGTACTGTGTAAATCCTATTTGTGTGGTTAATTGTGGCTCACTGAAACCAACTAAAATTATAAACTATTGTTTGGAACTAGATTGTTTAAAATAACCAAGTTAAAATTAACCAGAGCTGCAAAATATATGGAAGGGAGTCTAAAGCTACATTATACTTTTTAGTTGTCAGGACAGAAAACACAAATGTTGGAAGATCATAATCTAAGATATTTTTTCTTCAAACTTCACACATCAAAAAAAAAAAACAACTTGAATAAAATGTGGAAACAATATTTATGTTTTCCTTGATTCTTTGACCAACCTATAATGACCAGTACTCAAAAGACCCTGTCCTATGACCTGTCCATCCATCCAAGAATCATGATTGAGGCAACCAATGACTTATTACAGTGGCTGTTCATGTTTGACGATAGGCTTATTCCTTACCGAATCAATTTTCTTCCCCTCTCCCCTTCAGTTTTTCTTCTTCCTTTTGGCTTGGCAGCAATAGCCACACAATTTGCAGCATGCTGTAACAATAGATTGGGACTGTAGCTTTCCCAAGAGTTTCAATTTATAATAGGGCCATTCAAGGCACTAATTCAGTCTTGGTATATGATAGTTTGTCCCAAATTACTTCAAATGATCTTGAAGCTCTTTTGCCTTCTAGAAAGTGTGGCTGAATGTGAGTATTCAGATAAGGAAATTGGATTCATGCATTAATACTCATCCATAATGTGTTTTGTTTGTGGATTTGTTCAAAGTGTGAAGCGAGCACTGTGGTTTGTAATCCATGGTGTGTGAGCCTAATCATAATCTGTCCTGTTTTACTTGCCATTGCTCATTTCCATTGCTCTGATCTTTGACTCCTTAAGTATGAATGTTGATCCCCTAAAAAGATTGTGTGTGTGTTTGAGAGATGTGATTAAAAACTGGCATCTCTCAGAATGGAATTGTTTAAATCTACATAAATTAGGAAAATGATGTCTGGTTTAAAAACCAATTTGGATTTATTTATTTATTGAGATTTAGTTAAAGAATTTGCAGCACGTAACCCTTTGTACAGATGTTTCTGGATGATTTTCTTCTTTTTATATGACAGGCTCGGTACCGGAAGGAACAGACTTTGCTTAAACAGCTGCCCTGTGTTCCCTTGGTAGAAAATCTGCTGAAAGATGGTAGAGATGGATGCGCTTTAGCTGCTCTGATCCATTTTTACTGCCCAGAGATAGTTAGATTAGAGGGTAAGTCTGCTTGATTTTGATAGGTCTGTTCATTCGAGTAGCTTTTTATTTTAACTGAATCTTGACTTATTTTTCCAGTATGCTCATTGATATTGAGCCAGAATTCATTGGCTTAGGCGTAACAGAGAATGATAGCTTAATACAAAATAGAATATTTGTGGTATCCTTGTTTGGCTTTAGTATAAGTTCCCAGCTTTATGAACTGTGGTTTTATAAAACTGGGAATAGCTGTCCTCACCAAATCAGTGTGGTTCAACTGAAAATATAATTATATTTTCTGTGTGAGCCTCCAGTCATTCTGATTATGGCAGCAATTTAATAAACAAGCATTTGAAATCAGCCAGATAGATGAAAATTTGGCTTTATTGGGGTGTGACAATAAATAATTACTTAATAGAATGGCAACAAACTTTACAGCCACCTGCGCCTCCCCCATTCCTCAAGCATGATCACTGCTGTTTTGAATTAATCACAGCTTTTCATTTTCTTCAAATCCGAAAAAAACAAATGAAGTGCAAACATGATTGATGAAGTTTAAAAAAAAAAAAAGTAGTTAAGATTAACAGCTGTTCAAAATCTGCTGTATGTAAAAAACTGAAGTACAATTATAGAAACAGAAAGCTGATTGCCTCTTCACTATCTCACAGAGAAGACAAATGAGAAAGAGGCAATTTAGTAACTTCTTAGTAAACAATGTCAGGGTTGCATTTGTGTTATCAAATTATCGCTGGTCAAAAGTTACAGTTTAATGAAATTAACATGTGAATGAGTTGCACAGCCCATGTATACCACCCATTTGTTCCTCCTTTCACAGAGACATGTAAAGAAATCAAGAAGGTAACTGTTTCATAGGAATCAGGGATTATGATTAACTGTCCTGATAAATTGACTTCAAACTAGGCTTTGCTATTGATTTAGAATCCTTTTTTAGCTGGACTCAGTTAACCCTAATCATTGGCTGAGATGTCATACAAAAGTGTCCTTTTTCAGGTTTCAGCTATTGGTTTAAAAGAAGTGAAAGAGCGGATGCACAAGCACATGACTTGTTTGCATCATGATTTGTGAAGCATGATTTAGTATTAGGTGCCAACATTCCAAAGTATTGTTATTTATTAATGTGTAAGAAGCCAGTTTGGTGTAGTAGTTAAGGCACCAGACTAGAAACTGGGAGACTGTGAGTTCTAGTTCTGCCTTAGGTACAAAGCCAGCTGGGTGACCTTGGCACAGACACTCTCTCTCACCCCTGGAAAAAAGGCAATGTTATCATTTCCAGAAATCTTTTCAAGAAAAGTGACTAGTCCAGGCAGTCACCAGGAATCAACACTGACTTTAAGACACCAAAAAAACAAACAAACAAAAGTGTAATACTACAAAATACTGGCACGTTATTTTATTTGCTGTGTTTAATAGTTTAATGTTTTACAAAATCACTGGTTTAAAGAAGTTTACCTAATTGTGAATTGGCATTTGCTGTGAATAGAATCCTATACAGCATATTGGAAATGAATTATGGTTTTCAATTTGGTTCTGAATACTGAGAATTGCGGAGACTGTATCATCTTTTTCCCCCCATTATAGATATCTGTTTGAAGGAAACCATGTCACTAGCCGACAGTTTGTACAATCTGCAGTTGATCCAGGAATTTTGTCAGGAGTACTTAAACCAATGTTGCCATTTTGCACTGGAAGATATGCTGTATGCCGCTTCTTCAGTAAAGGTAATACAAAACAAGAGGACTGTAGTTGGGTTATTCTCCAGAGGTAAATATACTCAGGGTCCTAGTACTACTTTCCTTTGCTATTCCAAAATTCAGGAATGTTTGCATTTTGTTTTTACTGAGATTACAGCTCTTAGAAAATTCTGACCCATCACACAACATGTATTTTATGTGTTGTGGGTATATATGTGTTCATAAATTAGCAGCCAGGGACATATCTTGCTAGTAATGTTTTAAATACTTTTATTTTACCAGCAGTTTTTTAAAAACACTACTTTCATGACAGATTTTAGATTTTTGAGGAGGAAATGGTACATCATTGAAGTATTTCAAAGTTTGAGGTACAATATTGCGTTAACCAAACCATATAAATTATATTTTAATTCCTTTTCTGATAGTGATTTATTAATTACATCATTTTCCCTCTTATCCTCTCCCTCTGTTTTCTCCATGTTGAATCAGTTATCTTTTAATATTTCATTGTGAATATTGCATATATTTTCTCAGTGTTTAACTGAAAGGACTTAATTTTGTTTATCAAAACTACCCCCTTCATGGATCACTGCCTTGTCATGATGAAGGGGCTTGCATAACTCAGTGAAGCCACGAGCTATGCTGTGCAGGGCCACTCAAGACAGACAGGTCATGACAGAGAGTTCTGACAAAATGTGGTCCACT